AAAATGTTAAAAAAACTTTTACAAATCGAAATTAGGAATTAAGAAAGAGTCACCAATCAGTCGATCTTTATAGGACTATAGGTCGATCGCAATGAAAATGTAGTATACACGATACATCATATTGTATAAACTTAATATTCTAGTATAAAAAAATCCAAATAAATAAATATATGTCGATCATCAGTTTTAAAATTAAGAATACTTATTTTTTGGATGAGAACAATCGTATAAAACTTTGTTTTTTTTTAACAAAATCTATCAAAATTTCGTCCTCCTCAGAGAAAAATATAAACTTTTTTGACATCTTGACGCTGGTGGTTGACGCGATGCACTGGTCCCGACCGGTGTTGACGCCAACCACCGCGTCAATCGCACATAGGAAAATGGACACATTGAAACGTATTAGACCAGACTACCAGAGACTCCGCATCCGGACGCTGTAATGAAAACGTACCTATTGGGTTTTAAGTTTCACCCATTGTACTTGTTCTTTTTTTGACATTATCTGACCAGTTCAAAGTATCAAAGTGATTTATAAAAAATTATAAAAATTGCATCATGTTTTAAATATTTATAAAATCATGAATTTTTCATGATGGTGTTTGTTGTTAAAATGTTCTTGTAAGAGGACGTGATACCCGCTATGTTTCACATCTTAAAATATTCTTATAACTCGCTTCGAAATTAAAATAAAGTAAAAAGCCCCAGAGATCGTCCAAATAATATTCTTACCTTTAAATTTTATAATAGGTCAGTTCACTCTAACTTTTAAACTAACGGAGCTAAACGTGATTTGCTGAGCGTAAAATGTACCATGTACGCACTTGTAAGATGGAGACAACATATAATATGCGGGTATCTCGAGTCCTCAGTCCTCTTAACATACTAACTGTTATGGAGTTAATAGTTAGGTACTACAACGTCTACAACTTACTTTATGTTTAAAATGTGTAATACATTTTAGTTTTATTGACATTAATTTTGTTATATGCATTAATAGAAGATACCTATACCGGTTTTTCTGTTTAATACAAGTAATGTGATGGACTACTGATGGTAATACTCAATAGGTAATTATGTCATTATGAGGGAGGGTTGGAAGGTATAGCCCACGATGAGTTGGTGTTAAATAAATATTAAATTGGATCCAAGTTTTTTAAATTTCTATTTGAGTTCCCATCCTTGCAATTTACCAATTCGAACGCTGCCGGCTGCCGCATTAGATTTAAATATTTTTAAGACGCGTAAACTTGACTCAATCGCATAGTTAATAAATTAATTAATTAATTATTATCAGCTGTTTACAGATTAAATGATAATAATTACAGTGAAAGCTCTTTATAACGAAACTCATTACAACGAAAAACTCTATAATACGTAAATAACATTAAGTTAACTTATAATGATTGATTTGATTTAAAACCTATTAATTACTCTCCATTACGACAACTCTCAATAAGACAATAACGAAAGAAAACACGTTATGGTCCGGAGTCCCTTCAGATATCAGATTCGTTATAGAGAGTTTTCACTGTATATTGATACCACAGAATACTAACAAATTTACATATTTACTATCACGAACTAAGATCTTAGTTCGTGGTTACTATCATAAATAACATATATTATCTATGGTTACTATCATTATAGTAACCACCGCGTAGTGATAACTGATAGACGTTACATTAACACAAAATATTTTCTGAACTATCTATCTGAACAAATAATATTTAATTGTAAAATACAATGTCTTATGGTATTATTTTATTTATAATTTAAACATCATATTAAAGTTATTAATGTGTTATAGGCACAGTTATATTACATTATAATCAATAATACAGTTATAGGTTTCTTTTTTTGTAAGATTATTAAAGAAAAAAAAATGTTTTATTTACAAATACCTAATATAAATGTACCCATATTTGATGTGGAAGATTCAGCATTATCTCGTTTGGAACACTTTTCCACTTACGCTAAATTAAGTGACAAACCAAAATACTCTATGTATTTGAGAAACTCTACGCTTCTTGACTACACTGGATTTTTGTGCCTTAGGTACCTAAACAATTTATTTATATTTATATATTTATTAAACTTACTGTAAGCTTAGACTTAAAATAATATTGTGTGTTATTAAGTAACTCTAATTAAAATGGATAACTTACTTAGGTAAATAGTAATTTCATTTCATTCATATTCAATTACTGTTGTAAATTGTAGTACCTACAACTATTATAATATATAAACTTATAAATATTTTTTTTTCATAAGCATATTGTATACAAATTATACATTCTATTGTTTTATCAATGCACATCCCTATTTAGGATTAATGCATTTAACTGTCAGATAATATTAATACTTAATTTAAATATTTTTATTTAGTACTAATAATATTATAACTTATAATTTACAAATAATATATAGTTAACTATATACATACTATATTAGTTAAGGTATTATGTAACTGAAACTTCTTTTAAGAGAACACTACCCCCATACATTTGTTGTCTCTGTTTTATACAACATACCAAATTTCCAGTCACTACTTTCAATAGTTTTGATATTAGAATGATTTTTCCTATTTTAAAACATTTAGGTAAGAACATTATCTGTGCTTTTATTTGTTAATTCAATTTTGAAGCGATATAAGAGCTAAGAGCATTTTTAAGTTTTGATAATTCACATACCCATAATATTATCTTGCTTGAAAATGAAAATATTGAAAAAATGGACAATGCTAAAACACTTATAATATTATTATCTAAATTTTTGATAATAAGTCTATTCACTTTAATATCAAATATCCAAACTAACAACACAATATTTAAACTAGTGAACAAACATTTATTATGTCCGTACTTTGTATATTTGTAAGATTGTAAGATGGAGACAATAGAGACAATAAACGTATGGGTAGTGTCTTCTTAATGAACTGATTTGAAGGTACTTATTAAAAAACTCACCTTTTTAATGCGAGACTCAAGGATGCCAGATTTTCTATTGTGACCATATAATAAGCAATCCTGAAAATCCTAGATTATGTAAATAAATTTATTATTATTACTAGTACCTAGATTTTATGTAACTGCATATTCTTTTAGACTTGAGTTGAAATAATTTTGATTTAACAAATTGACATTTTGTCGTTTTGAATCTAATCCGAACAGCTGTTGCTTTGAATTTGAATTTTGTTTTACAGTATAAAACTATAGAATATATTTAAAATTATAAATCTTTGCTAGATAATCTACCAAAACTACCTATCTAAATACCTATGTAGTTTTATTTAATTTAAATACCCGTTTAAATATGTAATTTAAACTAACTTTTTTATAATAATTTAAATAGATAGTTAGATTTAAATTTTAATGACTTATATTAGAGTTTATTGTTTATTGTTAAGTAGTCTTTAAACGGTAAACTTTGTATATTACAGTAAATAGCTTTTATAAATAAAATAGTGTATCACATTATATTAAGATTCAATTTAAAAAATATTATTCTATAAAATTATATTATCTAATAACTAATAAATATGATGTTAATGTTGGATAGTTACCTAGCTCTTAAGGATTTGTTTAGTAAAAATTATTTATTTAGTATGTAATACATTGATATTTTCAGAACTTATGCAAGTTTAACCAATGACCATACATTAAAGGAAATGGTCATAGAAGGAGAATGTCGTTTAATCTCAGAACGATTAAATTTATTAAAACCAAATTATTTAAGAAAATACTTAATAAAAGTAATAGATGAAATTGGACATTTTAATGTGACTGATGATAATATTGATGTGTTACTAAAAGTATGTTCAGAATACAAGAATAAGCAACATGTACCATGTAATGAATGTTGTAGCTTACAGTCTATTGAAGGTTTGTTTATGCGATTACTAATTATAATTGTTTCATAATTGATTAATTAAATTTTTTATTTTCAGTTCCTTGGCAAAAATGCCTGACATTAGTTTCCAGTAGAAAAGTGCACCTTACTCAAGGCATTGCCATTGTACTCTGTCATCAATGGAATAGTTTATTAGTCGATTTATTTCGTTTAATTTATATCAAATCATTACATAAAATTCGTCGTTCTATGTCTGCTTTAGATAATAACAACTTACAATTTGAATATCTTAATGAGAAATTAAATAGGTATTATGATTCTAAAATAGCCTTTTGGAAAAATATTGATGAAGAGATATCTTTAGAAGAACTTAATTTAAACAAAATATTATTGCCTCCTTGCATGTTGTTGTCATTAAATTCATTATTCACAAACCATCGCCTTGCCCATGAACCACGTTATCGATTGACATTATTTTTAAAAGATATAGGAGTATCTTTAGATCAGACTCTAAAATTATTTCAACAGGAATATTCCAAGTGTGGAAATCTAAAAAGTACATGCACACATTCATGGGATGAACATAACAAACAAATAGAATACAATGCCCGTCATACTTATGGTATGGTGGGATCAAAAAAAAATTATCAAATGACATCTTGTGCTGTAATGCAGGTATATTTCATCAACTTTTTAAGATAAATTTTAACTGTAATAATGTATTTATTTTTTTTTAGAAACAAAATATTCAAGTTTCTGATGAAGGATGCTGTCCATTTGTACATTGTAGTGAAGATAAATTAAAAAGTTTGTTAGAAGAATTTACATCCATTGACGATGTTGAAATGAATACTTTAATTGATTTTAAAAATAGTGATCAACCTATCCAAGCATGTCATTGGTATGCACAAAAGTTGTTTCCTTTGTCAGAACCTCTATATCATAATACACCAACACAGTATTTTTACAATTTAAAAAAGTTAAATAAGTTCCATTAATAGATTAATAAGATAAGTAAATATTACTAATTAATGATATAAAATAGATATACAGTAAACAAAATGTTAGTTTATTAATTTCGTTATAGTAATAATTAATAAATATAAAAAGATTTATACAATTATTTATCAATAAAAAATATATCTACACTAAATATTTTACAATTAAAAAATTAGTATTCACATAAAAAACTGTACATATAATAATATAATATATTGACATTTTCATGAGTATTCGTGCATAACTGAATTTGGTGGTGTCCATCGGTAAACATACTCACTCTTTGAATGATTACCATGATGGTTTTGTGATTTATTTTGAGGATTGCCATAAACTCCATAAGTTGGATCATCTGCTGAATCTTTTGGTGGTTGCCTATATGTTTCAGACCTATTACAACTTTGTGGATATATTCCTGGAAATGTTTTAAAGTGGCGATATTATTAATGTTTTCCTTACAATCTATTTCATAAGTTACAAACCATTATGGATCCCACTAGCATTGACTTTTGATGAATTCCTAGCACTGTATGTGGGTTCATGTTGCCTTAGTTGATTCTGTTGATTTTGCCTATCTAGTCTATCTGTTCTATCATTGCATAGTGAAGTAGCTGTTGATGTCTGTGGGTATAATGATTGTGCTGGTAATAATGGCCCTGGCCTTGGTAAGTAATCACGAGGTGGCAAGTTATGGATGGATTTTGAATGGTACAGTGACTGTGAACGACTTAAATTTGCACGTGTCAAAACTGGTGAACGGGCATATAACGATCTACTCCCTTCATACAAAGGCTCTGGCAAATCTAAATCAGCAGTTAGCATTGGAGGGGAAAGAGCTGGCCGTATAATTTTGTGTGGTACTTGTATCTGACACAGATTCTCGTCATCTATAAAATATATTATATATTATTAATTTAATTTTTGTAAACTGCATGATATATAATGTCTTACCATTCAAATCATCTATTGTAGCTTTCCGTTTTTGTGGATTAAATATCAAATCATACACTACACCTGCAATGATTCCGCCCACTCCTGGTCCAAACCAATAAACCTGCACAATTAATAGTTTAATAACATTATTGTGACATAGTAACTACAACAAATAACTATAGTAAGGTATAAAACAAATAAAATTAGTGTCAAAGAAGTGATAAAATAATTGTAAAAATTATATAGGTACTGAAGATCTATTAATAAACTTAAACTATTCATATATATCCTATATATTAGGTATATCTATCAGTAGGTAATTCTCCAAATCAATGCTTGTATTTAACTTATTGTAAGAATTAAGCACTTTTCATAAGTATATAATTTTCCGTACCTGTACCGCCTCTAGCTATTAAAATATATTATTTAAAAAAACAATATATTATTTAAAAAAACTTATTTTGGATGCCTTTCTAAATTTTTATTTGAAGACCCCTATTTTCAATTTGGTAGGTTTAAGTTTACAAAGATTTTTAATTTTTTAATTGCAATTTTTGAACTTGCAAATTATCAGCATTTTTTGATTGGACATAGTTTTGAAGTTCGTGATTTTCTATTTTTCACTCTTCTGCTACTAATGGTACCTAGTAGTACGGGTAGATGCGGCTCGTCCATCACTCTGTCGTATTGTAACAAATAACAATGTGTCGTCCTTTAATTACCTTTTAATATCTTATAATTTAAATATTCAAATAGTTTATAATATTTAACTGGATATTGAGTTAAGTATCGTTTACGATTGATGATTAGAACACACATGATGTTCCAATCGTAGAGTAATATAAAGTCTATATTATAGACTATAGTTATATAGCATTGCAACATCAAATATTTAATTTTTCTCTATACCTAGTTTCATCGCGAAAAAGCTTAAATTTTACACATCTGAATTGATAATATAGGTATCTCCGTTGTGATCGTTTTTACTACCTATATATTATATTACCTACGAAGTTACGTTATTTATTTTCATTTACTTATGTATATTTTATACCCGCTCTATTACTTATTTTTCTATTCCTAAACGCTCTATAATTTATAGTCAGTATAATCCAATTGACCAATTAATTATTCTAACCAACAGCCATCCTTCATTTCTATTGTAATATAGTTAACTAGTTCCGTCTCACTTCTATTAAACGCATACTATTTGTAAATACCTACTATACTGTACTTTGCCACTTTGGGCCAACGCCAAGCTCGTATTTAATTAAAATAAAATGGAATAAATACATTTTATGGCCCAACATGAATTTTAAGATTTAAAAGTATTAATTAAAAATTATTATTATTATTTATTTTCCAATATTTGTTATATGAAAATGAAAATTTAAAAAAAATAAAATAAAAAAACCTATGTAGATTTTAAAGTTAAAAATTCAAAAGTATTTTCACTTATCAGTCTACTTAAATCAGCAGAGCTAAGATCAGTATTCAGTACAACGACTTCCACACAATACCATGAAAGGATGGTAAGACGCATAATAAATAGTGTATATCAGCAAACTTTTAGTGGCTATAACTTCGAAACTAACTTGCAATTATGGGTGTGTGAATGTGTTTATACAAATATATAATAGCCACATAGGTATGTACATTAGGTAAATTTAATATTAGTATTTAATATATATATATAGGTACCTAAGTTATAACGAGCAATCTTATTCAGTGTTCGAATTCCGAATACTTGTATTTAAATATATTTTTAATATTTCAAATACTTTTAAAATAATTTTCAACAAATTTATTTCAAATACTTAAATACTTTTCATCGTATTTGTGTTCGAGAATACTATATAAAAAAAAAAAATAAATTTTTTCGTACTAGCGTTCGCGCCATTCTAAATTTCAATTTCCAATATTTCGTAATGAAACAATTTAAATTTTGTTTCTAAAATATTATTTTATATTATTATGGTTCTAATGTCTATGAATTTATAAATGAGATTTCTTAAAATAAGAGAGGGTAGTAGAACATAATTTACACTTTTTTGGTATTTTCTGGATAGGTACAATAAATATCTTTTTAAAAAGTTAAGCAATTGTATTTATTTAGGTCTGATATTTTTGCCTCAGCTGTTTGAATTTAACTCATGACCTCGTCCCAAAAACGACCCTTAGCCTGCGCCTCGGTATAACTAGTATAAGTAGAGCACTCGTTTACTTAAAAAAAAAAAAAAAAGTCGCATTAACAATAATTAATAATGATTAAACTTACCCAGTGATTATCCCAATGGTTCATCACAAGTGCCGGTCCAAATGCGCAAGCTGGATTAATAAAGGGCATCTGCAAAAAGTTACTCGTAGGGTATTTATAAGGGATCATTGGATTTGTTCTTACCGCCACTAGACCGCACGCGAAGTACACTGCTCCTATTGCCGTTGCCGAAGTTCCGGTCCATTTGTGAAACGTATTATTAGTCACATAATATGTGAACACGATGAAGAACATGAGTAGCAAGCCTAGGCTGAAACGTTGCCATGGGGTCGTGCTGCTGTTTGGCAGGTCGTATAGACTGGTGAAGTAGTTGCGAGCGGAAACACTAGAAACCGATAATACCATGGTGTAGAGAATTCGATATCATGTACGTGATACGAACAGAGGACATAATATTATACTAATGAATAACGATGTATACATAATATCATATACGACATGCATAATAATATGATGCGGTGTGACATAAATGTTTACCTGTAGATAATCGCTGCGCCTCCCACTGCGCCGCCACATTGTGCAGCTATGAACATAACAGCTCTTACGGGGCTTATCCTTCTTGTGATCAGCATGGCAGTAGTTAAAGCGGGATTTATGTGTCCTCCTGAAAAAAAAAAACGCTTCTAATCAATTAAAATGTCCAACGATATTTAATGAATAAATAATATTTTTAGACCATATTTCAATGCATCAACGTAAAACTATTCTAATGAGTATCTTTATAAATATATAATATTATGATATGCATATAAATACAACTGATTCAGCTGTAACATAAATAAGAAAAAGCGGGTAAGCAGATAGCGGTACTAATGTACTAATGAACATAAAATGTATATAAAAAATAATCGTGMTCCTATTTTTTTAAATTTGTTGATTACAATATGAATTATTTATTCGAATCCATGTGTTAAAATTTCAAACTTTTTAACTCAACGAATAAAATTTTATCGACATTTTATAGAATAAAATACCGATAAGTTTAAAATGTAATATGTCCATAAACAATATAAAATTAATTAAAATATTTTTTTAAATTGTATCATGTAAAGAAAATTAAAAAATAAACATCTGATGAACATTTCAAGTACCTTGATCATTATTTTTTGAATAACA